TTTCTCTGAGTTCCCTCTATTCCCATGGTCATTTGATATTTTCCCTTGGTTATGGGGCAAGATGACATTATTTACGTGAAGACAAAGTTGTTTTCCAGTCAGCCTGGAGCTGCAGACTTGCAAAAACTATCCAAGGGAAACCAAGGAAGACCTCAGTAAAGCTGTGCTGATTCCACCCCTCCAGCAGGACCCTGAGATAACGACAGGAGCAGAAACCAGAGTCTGGGAGAGATTGCACCTGGCCCCCTGCACCTCCTCCTCCCTGCTACTTGCCATTTCCCACATTCCATTCCCTCAGCAACTCTTTAAAACCGCAACCTCTCCAACCTCTAAAGCAGGGAGTCAGTTCCAGTCTGTCTCCTCAGACGTCTGATAATAAACTTCCTACCTCGTACCAACATCTGGGACTGACGAGTCTTCTGTTTCTGAGCAGAGAGCAGCGGGACCTGGACACCCGGACCTGGATGCCAGTAACAGATGTGATCTGTTCTAGTCTGTGAGATCAAAGCAAAAATGCAACGTGGTGGCTGCTGGAGGCTTCCTTGTCGAGCTTTTCTTTCTACTCTTCGACTTCATTGCTTCTTCAATTCCGCTGCCTACATAGAACACAAGCATCTTGGATTGCGAGTCCAGGCTATGCTCAATGCACAAGAGAAAAGGTAGCTGGGTCTGCAACACCACGGAGCACCACAGAGCCTGGGACCACCTTCCCCATCCTCTACATGACAGAGAAGCAGAAAGCTCAGAGCTGGCTGAGCCTCGAGTAGAAAGGAAGAGGAGGAGAGGGGAGAAGGGGAAGAACAGGGAAAGGGAAAGGAGGAGAGGGAGAGGCACTAGGAGAGGTACAGAAAGGGTGGCAGGAGCAGGGAGGCCTGAGGTTCAATTGGAAGCTATTAGTTATGATGCTTTCTAGTACAAGTTACAGAAAATTAATTCAAAATTATGTAAATAATAAGGTAATGTGTTCATCATCTTAGGCATGCTAGGTACAGCAGGGCTATGGCTCCACAAAATGGCTAGTTTCAGGTATCATATTTAGAGGGCACATTGCTCAGAGGAAGAGGGGCCTTCTCCTAGGTCTCTTTCTTAAAAGTGAAAAAGCCTTTTCCATAAGCCTCCCAGCAGACTTCCTCTCCAGTCTCACTGGACAGGACTAGCTGAAATACCTGTTACCAAAGCAATCACGGCAAGGAGAATAGGATTACCGTGAATGAGTAAACCATTCATACTCCACCAGATCTACCTGTGGAACTGGGGATGGGGTCGCTTACTGAGTCACACAGGGGAGGGATGGACACAGGACCATGACTTACGTTTGTGCAAGTTGTGCATCGCACAACTCCAGGAAGTCCACTTACATTCACGGTCACTGTTATTTGTAAAGTTATTAGAACAAATTTCCAGCAGATGGCAGTAAAATGCCTGGGGAAAGGGCACCTTTTTCTGATTCATACAAAGTCACAGCAAGCAGACAAAGTATATACCTAACAAAGTCAAGCTTCTGTTTGAAGAAGGTGGGGGGAGAGGTGGGAAATGAGTGCTTGGTATGTACTGAGAGTTCTGCAACAGAAAGTAAACAATCCAATTTATCGTAAACCTTTTAAAATTATATGTGGTATGGGCCAGCCCCGTGGCTCACTCGGGTGAGTGCAGCGCTGGTAGCACCGAGGCCGCGGGTTCAGATCCTATATAGGGATGGCCGGTGCGCTCACTGGCTGAGCGTGGTGCAGGCAACACCATGCCGAGGGTTGCGATCCCCTTACCAGTCACAAAAATAAAATTATATGTGGTATGGCCCAGCCCCGTGGCTCACTCGGGTGAGTGCAGCGCTGGTAGCACCGAGGCCGCGGGTTCAGATCCTATATAGGGATGGCCGGTGCGCTCACTGGCTGAGCGTGGTGCAGGCAACACCATGCCGAGGGTTGCGATCCCCTTACCAGTCACAAAAATAAAATTATATGTGGTAAATTCTATTTTAATGCAATAATTCATTCCAGGTTTAAGAAAAGTTTTAAAAGGCTTTATTTAATTCCAATGTAGTTACTCTGAAAAAAAAACTGAAAATCATGACATACAAAACTCATTATCATTACCAATAAAAGCTTAAGGTGTCGAGATTGCTTTTTATAAGTGAAAAAGCATGCATACATAAAAGACTCTACATTCTTTTATAGCAAATGATTAAGGTATGCAGAAGATTACTACACCTTTAGAAAAGATGTTAATTTAATAGATAAAATATTATCATTGAAGATTAATCACATTATAAAGCATGATTAATTTTAAGAAATCTGAGATTTAAAGAAAATATTGAAGTTCCTTCATCATTTCTGTCAACTATGTGTCCACAGAAAAGGAAAATATAGTCAAAACCAAATAAGCAGACATAATATAAAGTTGGGAATACACAGTGATGTCAGGAGAAAAATTTTAAAGTGAGACTAAGTAATCAATTTCCTTGTTCGTGTAATCTCTACCATCTTCTCTTAATATTAAAGCAAAACTGTACAAATGATTATATGAAATAAAAATTCAGGGGGTCTTCTGTGAGTCAGTTTACACTTGGGGTCAATAGTAAATACAACGTGTGCGATGAAATGGAATTCCTTTCATCTCTTCCCTATGGTCACGGGCATAGTCCCATAAGTAATAATCCAGAAGAATGGAATTGATCTCTCCATCAGACTTTTTACCCTTTTTTTCAATAAGCTCCAGAAGACAATCCCGGATCAGCTCAACACACCAAAGTGAGCACCCTCTTATTTCCACCTCTTGCTTATCCCCATATGAGAGCATTTCTCCTGCAGGGGGAAAAAACAGCAAGAAGCATTAATAGTCAATGACATAAAATGTACTCAGAACTTGACTGGAGAACACGATCTTTAAATAGTACTAATTTTAAAACTGCAGGCTGGCAGGTTGGCTCAGCTCAGTTGATTAGAGCGCAACCTTGTTAACACCAAAGTCAAGGATTTGGTCTTGGCCAGCTGCCAGTCAATCAATCAATCAATAAAACTGTAAACCTTAGGCTTTATTTTGATGATTTAAACCATTTCTAAACGTAGACATTAATTCAAAATTACAAGTTGACTTTCATAAGGACAGGGGCCATGTCTGGTTCTTGATATTTCCAAGACCTAGCATAGCACCTTGCACATACTGGCTCCCCAATAAATATGTGTTAAATATGTGATAGCCATAAATTTAAAAATATGATAGAAAGTATATTATTGAAAAAAATGATTTAAAATTGAGCTTAATACTAGGAAAAAATCTCAATGGTTCAAAATCCTTTAGTCAGCTCGGCCTGAATATGGAGCTGAGAGCTCACATAAGATCCCCAGTCTATCCAGTACACACCTCCAGGGTATAGTGATCCTGCAGGGTGGGCACTGACCTGTGCCTTGCCACTGAGAATACAGTAGGGCTCATCAATTCAAATGCCTGTTAAGGATCAGGCAGATAGAGTAAATGAATGCAGCAGTCAGATGCAAACCCTGGTGAAGCTAGAAAGCCTGTGCTGCCCTATTTAAATGTAGCATATGTTTCCATATATGCTACCTTTATAAGAGAAGTCAGAAAGTTTGATTTTTATGTGAAATCTTCTAATTTTCAAATGTTGAAAACTAATTAAAAATTGCTTAAAGCACTGTTTAAGCCAAACAAGACACATCTGCGGGTTATATTTGGTCTCTGGCCACCAATCTGTACCCTTGCACAGAGCTTCACAGTACCCAAGAGGCCCTGTGATCCAAAGAGATGTAGGAAAAATGTCCCAGCCCCACTGGGTTTCACTTTGTCACCTAGGATCTTCAGTAGTGTTACTTATGTCTCCTCCACCCAGCTCTCTCACTGGCTTAGGCACTGGTCAGTGGAGCAGGTGGAAGAACAGAGACTAACAGGGCCCCTCCAGGTCCTTACTTTGTCTCGGGTGCTGGCATACAGACCCATACCCTTCTCTTCAGTTCTCCAGTTATTTAACTCCTCCGAACTTGACTACCAACTTGCCACAAGTGGCCAAATCAACCATGACAATGACCTTGGAGGCAGATGTCATCACCCAAGATGAAACCACTGCCCCACCTGACAGCTTGACTGCAACCTTGAGCCAGAGGCACCCAGTTAAGCAGCACCCAGATTTCTGACCCATACAAACTATGAGATAAGAAATATTTGCTGTTTTAACTGTTAAATTTTAGCATAATTTCTCACACAGCAATAGATAATAGTAGGTTTAACCATGTCCCCCCAAAAGATACATTCAAGTCCTAAATCCTGGTACCTGTGAATGTGACTTTATTTGGGAGCAGGTCTTTGCAGTTGTAATCAAATTGAGATGAGGTCATACTGGATAAGGATGGGCCTTAAATTCAATGACTACTGTCCGTATAAGGTGAGGATTCGCAACATGGATAAAGCAGGGGGAAAGAAAAGAGAAGAGAAGAGAAAAGAAGAGGACACAAAGAGACATAGGAAACACACAGAGAAGAAGGCCATGACTGGAATGATGAAGCTATAAACTAAGGAATGCCAAGGATTGCCAGGAACCACCAGATGCTGAGAAGAGACAAGGAAGAATTATTCCCAAGAACTTTCAGAGAGAGGGTGGTCCTGCCAACACCTTGATTTTAGATTTCTAGCCTCCAGAACTGTGACAGGATAAATTTCTGTTGATTTAAGCCATCCAGTTTATGGTAATCTATGTCAGCCCTAGGAAACTAATATAATAATTAATACAGCAACTTATAATATGGAATGGAACATGGATTTTAAAACAGAACAAGACAATCATTTGAGAGGCCTGACAAACACAGAGTCAGGGAAGGTAGCACAGCCAATGTATTGGGCCTAGAATCAGCACTAGAACGACAGTGAAGAATCTAAATTTAGCCTACTTTCAGTCAGTCTTTATAACTGGCTAAGAAATATGGTTTTGGTGAAGAGACGGATTAAAGACAAAGAGGGCAGAAATCTGGCTAGGACTTCCAAGGGCTGTCCTGGAGATATCTAGAAAGGAAAGGGAAAGGGATACAAGTATAGCTCATCCTCAAGTTTGGAAGAAATACCATACGAGGCCCGTTGAGAAACATCCTACTTCATGTAGTCAAGCTAAGCTGGTTCTAGATTTCACTTATTTATTTATTCATTTACTTATTTAATTTTTTGGGTGGCTGGCCAGTACAATGATCTAACCCTGGACCTTGGTGTTATCACTCTAACCAACTCAGCTAAAAGGCCAGCCCCCACTTAAAGCAGTTTTAAAAAATCAGCACAGAAGCTGGGGGGCGCTAGAGCTCAGGGGAAGAGGAGGAGAGACCTATGGAGCATGAAGGAAGGAGAAGTCACAATGAGAGAAAGAAAGGGTCATTCCCACCATTTCGAATCCTGGCAGCTTCCAGGCTGTAGCTGCTGAGCGCACAGAGCAAGAACTGGCAAAAGCCGCAGCTGTGCCCTTTGGATGAAGTTGCTTGGAGGCTACAGGGGAGAAGAGGGCCTTGGTGGTCATCAGGCCAGCAAGACCACTAACGGGGCTCCCGTGGACCCACGTAGGAGTGAGGATCTGCAACAACTGAAAAAAAGGAGCCACTCAGAGGCTGGTGAGTTATCTCAAAGGACCAGCACATTGCCCATCCCATGGGAAATGTTTGGAGCATGGGCGGTGGGGGAGATGGGCCCACCAGGAGAACACTGGGCACAGCAAGGACAGCTCATCTTTCCCCCAATCAGCGCAGGACCGCTTAGCGGAGACTGGTCAGGAATATAGAACTGCATGGGATGCAGTGTGCTGAAAAGACTGAGGTCCAGACCAGAGTTTCCACACAACACAGGTGTAGCAGACCTCACAAGATCCAGAAGTACATAAAAAGTCAACAATTAAAATTTGAGCTGCACGGGCCGGCCCGGTGGCGCACTGGAGAGGGCGGCGCTCCCACCGAGGGTTCGGATCCCATGTGGAGACCGGTTCCCGCTCACTGGCTGAGCGCGGTGGGGGCGCAACACCGAGGGTTGCAATCCCGTTGCCGGTCCCCGGTATGGGTGCGACACCGAGGGTTGCGATTCTGTTACCAGTCAGAAAAAAAAAAAAAAAAAAAGAAAAAAAAAAAAAAAAAAAGAAAAAAAAAAAAAAAAAGGGAAAAAAAAAAAAAAAAAAAAAACTTGAGCTGCACAAAAAGCCTTCCAGGGAATCAGCAGCAAAGCAGCAATGTAGCTCAACTACAGGGCTCAAGTGCTGGTCCCCACAGGAAATCTCCCCATTTTATTAGTAAGCAAAGGACAACAAATTAGTCCCAGAGCAGAGTTTAAGTGATGGGAACAGTGAATAATTCAACACAGAACTGAAAGAAAAAACAAAATACCCACATAACAAAGACAAAGTTTAATATTAACCAGTAAATGTCTAACACCACCAGACACCTATAAAACCTAGAAAGGGCTCCTCCTTCATGCCCTCCTTTCCCTCGCTCGCAGCCGAGCAGAGCCGGTACACCCGGAGGGGCCCCCACCCCTCCCTGGGACATGGCCGGCAACGTGAAAAAGAGCTCTGGGGCCGGGGGCGGCAGCGGCTCCGGAGGCTCGGGCTCGGGCGGCCTGATCAGGCTCATGAAGGATGCCTTCCAGCCGCACCACCACCACCACCTAAGCCCCCACCCACCGGGGACTGTAGACAAGAAGATGGTGGAGAAGTGCTGGAAGCTCATGGACAAGGTGGTGCGGTTGTGTCAGAACCCAAAGCTGGCGCTAAAGAATAGCCCACCTTATATCTTAGACCTGCTGCCAGATACCTACCAGCATCTCCGTATTACCTTGTCAAGATATGAGGGGAAGATGGAGACACTTGGAGAAAATGAATATTTTAGGGTGTTCATGGAGAATTTGATGAAGAAAACTAAGCAGACCGTAAGCCTCTTCAAGGAGGGGAAAGAAAGAATGTATGAGGAGAATTCTCAGCCTAGGTAATGGAGAAATACTACACAAGTATTAATTCAGGCGAAACCTAACCAAACTGTCCCTGATCTTCAGCCACATGCTGGCAGAACTAAAAGGAATCTTTCCAAGTGGACTCTTTCAAGGAGACACATTTCGGATTACTAAAGCAGATGCTGCAGAATTTTGGAGAAAAGCTTTTGGGGAAAAGACAATAGTCCCTTGGAAGAGCTTTCGACAGGCACTACATGAAGTACATCCCATCAGTTCTGGACTTGAGGCCATGGCTCTGAAATCCACTACTGATCTGACCTGCAATGATTATATTTCAGTTTTTGAACTTGATATCTTTACGAGATAATTTCAGCCATGGTCCTCTTTGCTCAGGAATTGGAATAGCCTTGATGTAACTCATCCTGGTTACATGGCTTTCCTGACGTATGATGAGGTGAAAGCTCGGCTCCAGAAATTCATTCACAAACCTGGCAGTTACATCTTCCGGCTGAGCTGCACTCGTCTGGGTCAGTGGGCTATTGGGTATGTTACTGCTGATGGGAACATTCTCCAGACCATCCCCCACAATAAACCTCTCTTCCAAGCACTGATTGATGGCTTCAGGGAAGGCTTCTATTTGTTTCCTGATGGACGTAACCAGAATCCTGACCTGACAGGCTTATGTGAACCAACTCCCCAAGACCACATCAAAGTGACCCAGGAACAATATGAATTATACTGCAAGATGGGCTCCACATTCCAACTGTGTAAAATATGTGCTGAAAATGATAAGGATGTAAAGATTGAGTCCTGTGGACACCTCACGTGCACATCCTGTCTTACATCCTGGCAGGAATCAGAAGGTCAGGGTTGTCCTTTCTGCCGATGTGAAATTAAAGGTACTGAGCCCATTGTGGTGGATCCGTTTGATCCTAGAGGAAGTGGCAGCCTGTTGAGGCAAGGAGCAGAGGGAGCCCCTTCCCCAAATTATGATGATGACGATGAAAGAGCTGATGACTCTCTCTTCATAATGAAGGAATTGGCTGGTGCCAAGGTGGTAAGGCGTCCTTCTCCATTCTCCATGGCTCCACAAGCTTCTCTTCCCCCAGTGCCACCACAACTTGACCTTCTGCAGCAGCAAGTATCTGTTACTTCAAGTGCTTCTGGTCTTGGAACTGTTCCTAAGGCTGCTTCTGTCTCCCTTCATAAGGACAAACCATTGCCAGTGCCTCCCACACTTCGAGATCTTCCACCGCCACCGCCCCCCCAGACCGGCCATATTCTGTTGGAGCAGAAACCCGGCCTCAGAGACGCGGACGCCCCCTACCTTGTACACCAGGCGATTGTCCAGCCAGAGACGAACTGCCCCCTGTCCCCTCTAGCCGCCTTGGGGACTCATGGCTGCCCCGACCAATCCCCAAAGTACCAGTAGCTGCCCCAAGCCCCAGTGATCCCTGGACAGGAAGAGAATTAACCAACTGGCACTCACTTCCATTTTCATTGCCCTCACAAATGGAACCCAGAGCAGATGTGCCTAGGCTTGGAAGCACATTCAGTCTGGATACCTCCATGAATATGAATAGCAGCCCATTAGCAGGTCCAGAGTGTGAGCACCCCAAAATCAAACCTTCCTCATCTGCTAATGCCATTTATTCTCTGGCTGCCATACCTCTTCCTGTGCCAAAACTGCCACCTGGGGAGTAGTGTGAAAGTGAGGAAGACACAGAGTATATGACTCCCTCCTCTAGGCCTGTAGGGCTTCAAAAGCCAGAGCTGAAACGGCCATTGGAGACAACCCAGAGTTCACAAGCATGTGATTCTGACCAGCAGATTGATAGCTGTACTTATGAAGCAATGTATAATATTCAGTCCCAGGCACCATCTGTCACCGAGAGGGAATTTGGCTGCAGCCCCTGCTAACACTGGCCCTGAGGAATCAGAAAATGAAGATGATGGGTATGATGTCCCTAAGCCACCTGTGCCAGCAGTGCTGGCCCGCCGAACTCTCTTAGATATCTCCAATGCCAGCTCCTCCTTTGGCTGGTTGTCTCTGGATGGTGATCCCACAACAAACTTTACTGAGGGTTCTCAAGTTCCTGAGAGGCCCCCCAAACCATTCCCTTGGAGAATCAACTCTGAATGAAAAGCAGGTAGCTGTCAGCAAGGAGGTAGTGCTGTTGCTTCTACTGCCACTACTGCCACTGCTGCCACCACTGCCTCGCCTCAGCTCTCCAGTGAGATTGAGAACCTCATGAATCAGGGGTACTCCTACCAGGACATTCAGAAGGCTTTGGTCATTGCCCACAACATCGAGATGGCCAAAAGTATCCTCCGGGAATTCGTCTCCATTTCTTCTCCTGCCCACGTAGCTACCTAGCACATCACCACCCTGCTTCAACTTTAGAGAACCAGTGAGCCAGGAGCTCTTACTTGAGTAGCACCTAAAAGGGCAGAGGTTCCTTTGGAGACTTCACAGTGAAGTCATGCCCTTTCTGTGGGATATCACCTCTGTGGTTCTGAGATTTCAAAGCAGTGGAATGCAAAAGGAGCAGCTAGTATGTTTTATTATTTTATTGGTCTTGAGAGTGCATTTGAAGGTGTCCTTCAGTCCCCACTTAAGAGTGTGGATTTTTATTACATGGTAGCCTACTTGGGAAACAATTCAGAAAATAATAGAATAAGTATTGTGCTGTAAATCCTAATTGAGAACTTAAGACTTTCCTGGGTTAAGGATGTGGCCATGTGTGTGTCTATCTGTCTATCCGTCTGTGGTTGTATATGTCTTGTGATTCTACGATTAACCTGCTGTGTGTGTTAATCCCAGGCAGGGAATTAGCACAAGAGGTTTAGGAAGGAATCTTTAAGACTTCCATCTACTGTGGTATTATATCCAAATGTAGTGTGATCCAAATGTAGTGTGTATTCCAACTTCAACACTCCCCTTTGGCTTACATTATCATGTGCGTAGCTAAAGTCCTATATTTTTAGAACACCCTTTCTCCGTCCTTTCCCCTGTCGGCTCCTTCCTCCTCCTCCCCCTTGGTGTTCTGTCACTGGCATCGAGCTTGCTATAACCAGCCTTACTGAGGCCAAGCAGCTTATGGGATGTTCTTTATTATGTGTGGTGGTGTTGGTTTGTTTGGAGATAGGTGGGAGAAAAAGTATTGTTGCTATATCATTATAGTCATGTTTGATACTAGCAGCTAACACTGGTCACTCCAAAGCACTGTTTCCATAGGAACATTGAGTTTGTTAAAATAAGGTGGTTTAATTATCGTAGTTACATAATGACTGATTTGAGATAGAGGCCTTCAAATACATTCCATGCCCTCCCCAGAAAATAGTCTGTGGGAGTCAGTTGCCTTTGTGCCAGATATGTGTTCTAATGTAGGTTATGAAGTCTTTCTATGTAATAGGAAGGGAGTAACATTTGTTCCAGGATGACTTTCTGGCCTGAATACCACGAAGCTTTTAGGAAGCTTCATTCACATGCTACTTAAGTGCACAAAATAGACAATGAGGATTTATCTGTTTAGTTTTTTTTCCCCAATAAATTAATTTCAGCTTATATGGGTGCCTCCCTTTGAACATAATAAGCCAGGGTAGATTTTCAGAAATGATTTTTTTCTTTGCCCTTTAAGGAGTGGGGGTACCACCCATGGTAGCACAGCATTTTGCTGATGATTAGCACCTTTCCTACATTGGGGCCACCCGATGACTTCGTTTTCTCTTGTGCCGATGGCTTTTGAAATGTAACGTCTCTTCCTTTCTTTCCCCTTTCCAATTCACCTTAGGTCCTATATACTCTCTTTAATTACTGTGTTCTCTACAGCAGTTAGACATCATTTGATGAAATAAATTCCTTCACTACAGTCAAAGACAATATGGGAAAAGGCTGGCCGTTTGTGTAATTGCAAGTTCATAAGGAAGATTCACATTCTAGTCAGTCATTTCTTTTAGAGACTGCTGAATGGTCCCTTGAGTTCAGGTAGCTCTCTGTCCAGTGCTGACTTCCCCAGCAGCCTGTAGCTCTCCTTGTCAGAAGCAAGCCTGTTCTGATAAATCTGCCGACCTCAGAATCTAAATCACACTTTTGTCTTTAGGTCCAGACAGAAATGACCCTCCTTTGACCAATTTTCTTTCCAGTCTTGTTATCTTTGGAGCTAAAACTTTTTCTAGTTCTTCTCTTGGCATTCAGCTGCTCCTAGATCTTTTGGTTTTACCCTTTTGCCTCAGAGCCATTTAAATTCCCAGAGTAGACAGTACAGGACCATGTGTTGATTTGCCATGGTTACCCAGTGTCTTTTCTGCATGGGAGAAAACAACATAGCCCACCAGCAGGTGCAGGACATCCTGAATGGGGGTGGAAGGGCAGGGGCGAATGACAGTGACTAGGAAACAAGCTACTGTCTACTTTTGAAATGCAGTATAGCGTTTCACTTGAGGTAAAATTCAGTTTTGCATTTTGTTTGAATGTTGAAGGCCTAGATAAAGAACTAGAAAAGATGGCAGCAGTTCCAGGCCTATCCACGTAGTTTTTCTTTTACTGCAGATAGTGCCCATAGTTGAAGGCTCTATCAGGAAAACAAAGCACTGGCTATGTATCTTTTGCCTTTTCAGAGCATTCACATCATCTTTCGTGGAGATGTTGTCCACACCATATAGGCTGTGAGCAGTTTCTTCCTTTCCTTTCCTGAGTACGTGTGTGGCTCTTCAAGTCAGCCCGGAAACTGAAGTTCCAGATCCCTGTGTTGAGCAGGTGCACTGTTGATTGGCTTGGGTATTAGTTTGTCACGTGTCCCTGCAGGCATTCAAGGTTTTGGAACATTTTGTGAGGGTCTTTTCTTTGACTGGGTGCTCTGAGAACACACCTGAGTCCATTCCTGAGATTGCCAGGCCAGCCTCAGGAAGGTTTTCACGTGGCTCTTGTTTTGAGGATATTCTCAAAACTTTAATTTCTTATATTTTCCTTTGACTAAGGCACCAATAACTCATTTTTCACCCTCCATTTGTATGGCAACTTTAAATTCTTTGGCTCTGCTCTGAATTTAACTAAAATTGCCCTTTCATGAACAGGCTTTATTTTGAGTTTTGCCATCTTTGGCAAACCCATCTCCTTCCCCCCTCCTAATTACAAGTGTTTGATAAGTCAAAATGATGACTGGTGTTTTCCTTTTTATCAAATTCATCAGGCTATTTTATCCAACCCAGTTTCCTGCTTTCCCTGTGTCTGCCTGAGTTGCTTTCCACAGCCTCCCTCATTGCTAGCTGGGTCGCTGCTTTCCAGCAGCCCCTCCATACCCTTTCCCATACTCTTTCCATACTTCTTCCGCAGGTGGTAAAAACCTGTGGGCTCTATGGTATACCTCCCTTTAGTTAAATAATAGACTGGGCAGTTTATCGTCTCAACATTTATCTGTTACTATTTATGTAAACAGTGATCTCTACCCGTGGATAGCTCTTTCTCTTTTCCTCCTCAGCCCCACTCTACTTATTCTGCCATTCTTATCTTCTCTTTCTCTTCTTCCACAGACTCACATCACCAGGGCCCAAGATGTGCGATAGTACCGTTAGTATCATTTAGCAGTTTTGTGGATTAAAAAAAAATTGGGGGCAGGGGGTTGCTATTATTCATACTTAAGATATTTATTTCCTCTCTAGAAAAGTTTTGTGGTCCAAACAGCAAGCTTACAATTAAATTTTTGTAACACAACTTACTTGAAAACTAGGGACCAGCTATATATTCCCTTTAAGGCACCATTAACAAGGTCTAGTCCTTTTCGTAGGTGATCAGCAATGGTGTTAATGCAAAATACTCTCCTACCTCACACTATGAAAGTCAGAAGGTCATAGACCTTCTTGCCTAACTGTAAAGCCCCTTCTCACCGTTGACCTTTCTGATCCTGGAATGGCCACTGTCCATTGAATAAGAGTATTCTGACCATGGACCTGGCTGTGACTATTTGTTTGTTCATTCAGCACATGTTTGATTACCATGTGCCAGAAATGTCAGCTATATGTCCTTCCCTGCCACCACATGGTGGGTTACTAATGTTTGGGAAATTTTACTTGGCTCTGCATTTGCATTTTATCCTAAAATAGCTCTTCCCAATAGGATTGTGCAGTTTTCATTCACAGTTCTTTTATGTAGACTTTATCTTTCCTTATAGAGCTGCCTTGGTTAAAATCCTTAACCCCTATTGTCTTCCTATAGCTTTGAAAATGTCTGGAAGATTCCTTAGTGTAAGTCTCATGGCTATTTACCATTTTTATGTATTTCAGTGGAATCTATTTGGTTGATTGTGGGGTGTGTTGTCTCAGAATTACACAGTAGGGCATTAAATGTTTAAGCAAAGCATCAGCCCACAATCTGCTTTCCAATCTAGTGCCTTCCTTGATCTTTTTACTGAGCTACTGTTGGGAATCCAACAGTAATCCCCCTTGTTGGGAAGGTTTACTTATCACCCTTCTGGGACCTGTCACCATCTCCCATACTGTTTGGAATTTGTTTTCCAATCCTTCAACAATCTTTGCAGCAATTCTGTGTTTTAGAAGGGCTGGAGGTGTGGGGGAGGTGTGGGTACCTGTCTTTGGGTTCTGATCGTCAGCCAGTTGTTTGGTCTTCCAAGAGCCAGACAGTTCTCTAAATGTCAGCCTTTACCTCCCAGAGTAGGGATCTTAGAGACCCTAGAGCTTAGTATCAGCACATCATTCTACTAGACCTTAAAGCTTTAGGAATTCAATCTAAAGTATTCTAACTCAGCATTAAACATTACTATCACTTCTTTGATCCCAATCTACATTAGTAGTCTTTCTTTAGGAGTGCATATAGCCACTTCATGCATGGAGGAGGGTGGATAGAAAAAGAAAAGTTAAGGTTGTATTTTGGACTCTCCTGGTTAGGGGCCCTTTAGATGCAAGAAACAGAAATATTAAAGCTAAAGAAAGGAGGGAGTCATTATAAGGATGCAGAGTGTCTTGTGGGACCTAGGATGGGAAGTACAGTTGGTTCTTTCACGGAACTGGAACTGTAAACTTTGCACTTAGTTCTTTCTCTTCCTTTACAACCTGTTTATCGGCATGCATGGACCTAAAATAGGCACCCTCATCCTCAAATTCACACCACCTTCTACTCTTGGGATCACCATGAACAGATTCCCAATTCTTCTTAGTTCACATTCTTAACAAAGAATACGCTCAGCCCAGCACATTGATCAGTATCTATTCCTGTCTGGTTGGCCTTGCCAGGGATGGCAAAGACAGAGCAGCAGTGGCACACTCCTTCAGCTGGGAGATGGGGAGGTTCTCAGAGAAGAGGGCACAGACTGAGTAGACACCCTAAAAAGATTTCTACTCTAAGGCAGCCATGGGAATGTG